GTTACACTGGCTGCACGTGGACTGCGGTGACAGCTCTTAGGCCATCCCTTGTGAGCCTCCCATGGCCTGGGCAGTGTTGGACACAGTGCTTCTGATTTGGTTGCCATCTTTCACTTTTCACATTTTGACTTTGGAGGACACAGGCCCTGCTTCTCCCCGTCTTTATGACTCTTGTTCTTGGTGACCTCATCTTGAGATAGTTACCTTGGTCACTGTGTGAAGAACCACTCATCAAAGGCCACACTTATGAATTCCAATATGGGATCACATCTTTTGGGGACTTCCCAACCCCTGCATAGTGGACTGATAAGGGAATAGAGAGGAGAAGGTAGACTTTTGGTCCTAGGAGGTCATTCATGGTATGCCGAGGCCAGGGTTACTAGCCTGGTTGTCTGGACTGAGTCCAGCTCTCTGTGGATTCTCCTTCTTTCCAGGTGGGACTTGCTCCTATGTGAAAATTCCTGCCATGTTGTGGCCCATAAACTAGCCTTTGCTGCCTTTGTTTGTGGGGTCTCATGGCTTGGAGAGATGGTCATTAGAAGACACTGTGCCTTCAGGAATAAGCTGGCTGGGGAAGAGGGGCACCTAGGCCTCAGCTTAGAAGTGGGTAGGGCTTAGTAGACTCTGGCAGGAGAAGGGTGTGGGCCATGCCTTGTCTTCCCAAGACAGTGTGTACCTGAGCATGAGACCGAGCAGATCTGTGTTTTAGAGTGGGGTGTGTGTGTGTGTGTGTGTGTGTGTGTGTGTGTGTGTGTGTGTGCATGCTCATGTGCACAAGCATGTGCCTGGCACCTGACCCTATGCATTTGAGAGGGTCTCTGCAATCTCTGCGACTGTCTGACATCCATTTGAATGTGAGTGACGGCGTGTCCTTCAGCACAAATGCACAATGTTCTGTGAGCTGGCCAGGGATGAGGCTTGGGATGCATCCCGAGCGGTGCCTCTCCCCCAGTCAGACCAGTCACCCTCCCAGTCCTGGGTCTTCTGCACTCAGTAGAGGTGGCCCTCTGTGCCTTTGCCATCCTTGCCTTCCCTGGCTACCCCAAAGCTCGTAGAAGCCAGACCACAGCTTAGGAGAGGGCTCAGACTCCTGGAGACTGTGGTCTGGTCCTGCAGTCTTATCTCCAGCTCAGTTTCCCCAAGTCCCATGGTGCTGATCTTGGGCTCTCAGTGTGGATCTCTGTAATGGGATTCTTTTGTATTTTTATAAATGAAGCTTTTCTGAGGATCAGAAAAGTAAAACAGCCACAAAGGCCAGCCTTACAGACCAGTTAGCAATGACACACACCTTTAATCCCAGTAGCCACACTAGCTTGCTATAGAAACCAGGCAGTAGTGGTGCATACCCTTAATCCCAGAACTACAGAGGAATATAAAATGGGAGGAGATAGGAGATAGTTCTCAGTCTCAGTCTCATTCTGAGATTCCTAGGGGCAGCATCGTCATTTTGGACTGAGGTAGAAAGAGCCAGTGACTGACTGTTTGCTTTTCTGACCTTCAGGTTGAACCCCAATGTCTGCTCCAGATCTCTTGTGAGACCACCACCACTTATGACGACAAGGGTGTTCAGCCAACTGACCCTCAAAATGGTCGTAATAGTTTTTCTCACGCCTTCATCCAGGGCCCAGCGGGGCCACGCCCACCCTAGCATCCTTACTAGAAATCTTCTCATCCTTGAAGCATTTTCTGCAGTCATTGACTACTGGCTTTTCCTTCCCACGAAGACTTTTTCCTTTTTATTAGTTCCTGAGCCATCATTGCATATGGGAGAATCCAGTCTTTTGTAATGCGAGTTCACGTCCCAAGGATGGAAAATTAAGTTTGAATGACTCTTGCGTATGTGTGTGTCCTCGCTCAGGCCCTCCAGGGTCAGGGTCTGGCCTGTCTGCCTGTACTTAGTGGGTGGACAGATTGTGGTCCTGGAGAGTGACCTGCACCCAGGTCCCCAGGGGTCCATCTCTGATTTCACCATTAGCGCCCCATGCTTTGCCCTTAACTTCAGCATAAGAAGTGGGAAGCCAGCCAGCGAGGATGGTGGACTGGCTGGACACTGGGCTGGAAACCTTGGATTTTGAAGAGGATCCCACAGAGGTGGCTGGTTGATCCCCACGCTTCTCACCCTCTAGTCTTTGTCCATGCCTTTGGCACCCTTCACCCCAATGGTGGCTTCAGACACCTTCTCAAAGTGCTCTCAAGGAGTTATGGGAAAGAACTTTACTAAAAAAATCTGGAGACAAAGCAGGATTCTGGCTGAGGCTTGGAGTCGATGAGGCCTCAGGGCTTAGCTCTGCTGCTGCCCTGTGGGACGCTCCTTTTCTTACAGTAAGACTCTGCCCAGCCCACAGGTCTGCAGAGCTCTTTTCAGTTTTGCTGCCTCATCCTGAATGCCCGTCTGTCTCTTTAGTCTCCAGGGACAGAGGACTGTAGCGACTGGGTTGTTTGGACGCAGTGGGGCAGGATGGCTTCTGAGGATTGAGGGCCCAGACTTGTTATGGGTTGACTATGAATGCCCCAGCTTTGACTCTGGGCTCTAGGTAGGGGCCTAGTAGGGACTCTTGGTTCTGGGGCCTTGTGTTTTTGTGGTTATTCAGTCAAAATGTAGTAATCCTGATTCCCGTAGATCAGGGAATGACCTCAGGCGATCAGCATCCATCCTAAAACTCGGGTCAAATTGATGAGGGAACAGATGTTCTTCCAAAGTTTGTCTCAAAGTATCTCTGTGTAGGACAGCCCAAAAGTCTTGATTTGGAACTTTCTGAATGCTGTTATATCAGTTGCTGGTCCCCATATCTAGTCCTTTTGGGGGTTTCTGCCCCTTCCTATCACCCAGGGCATAGCAGGAGCCTCAGACACACATGGCCACAGGCCTGCATGGGAGCTGGTGTTGTGCCTATGCCCTGGTCTGGAGGATGTTGGCATAGTCGTGGAGGGTCTGGGATGTACCCTGCATCGGTGTGGAGAAGACCCACTTCACCTGGGGAAAAGGTGCGTATGAGGATGGCTCTGTAGCTTGGCCTAGCCCTCCCTGGCCCCACCCACTGAGGTGCAGGACCCCACCTTGAGGAGGGTGACAGTGGCCCCATAGCTCACACTGAGCAGGAACAGGGTGATGAAGATGTAGGTGCTGGTCCACAGCTCTTCCAGCTCCTTGCTCTCAGCCTCTTCTGCACATAGGTCCTGGATGTCTACCTCTGAGGGAACCAGCCAGTCAACTTCCCCAGATGCCAGGTGACAGTGGGGAGGGGGAGAGCCCACACTGGTAGTCCCGATGAAGCCGGAATGGCTGCTCTGGGACTGCTCAGAGTCTCTGGCCAGCCCTGGACGCCAGCTGCCCTCTTTTCTCCCCTGACCCTGACTACTCATTCCCTCTTCCTACACCAGTTCCCACAGTGCCTGATACCCACCACCATCAGCTTAGCTTTCCTTCTGGCCATAGGATACCTCTATCCAGCCTGCAAACCTGTCCTTCAGAGAGTGTCCAGGGCCACCCTGGAAGGGCTCTGAACTCATAGGCCCATTTCTCAGGACCTGCATGCAGGCTCTGGCTCCAGGAATCTTGGCTGTGGTCTCTGAGGGGTAGGTCAGGACACATGGGCTCTGAACCCAGGCCTGTGGGACTCTAGAGAGGGCTTCCTGGCCTGGTAGGGGCTCTACTCTTGCCTGAGTTTCCCTTTTGTCTCTTTTACTATTCTGACCAGCTACCATACAGCCAATCTTCCTGTCTCTGGTCTCCCACAGCTCAGGCCTCCATCTTCCTTTGTCTCTCATGGTCAGGCATGAGTAGGAGTATCAGCATGGGTCTGGAAGCAGCCCTGAGGTGCTGACTGACTCTGCCATTGGTGGGCCTCAGAGGTATCTTAGACACAATGGCTGGATACTCATCTCTGGATATGGTGAGTGTGTATGGGCTCCATTGTGTGCATGGCTGTGTGTGTACGATGGGAGCCTCTGCGCTCAGGTGTGTGAGCCATATGTAATGGTGGTTGGGCCTGGAATGGGTGTGGATGTGTTCTGGTTCTGGCCTCCTTATTCTTCTGGGCCTGGGATGAATGTACAGCTTGCTTTGGGCTATTGATAAACCAGGGAGCAATTAATTAAACTAAAAACGACCTGTGCTGTGTGTGTACCTGTCTGAGGGTTCTAGCAGACAGGGAAGAGTGGTCTGGGAGGCTGAGGCCCAGGAGGAGGGCATGTGGAAGACACTGGGCTCCCTAGCAGGGTGTAAGTTCCCTACTTCTAACTTGGACTTAATGGCTCAAGTGTATAAAAGGAAAGGATTGAGAGTGGCCCGAGTCAGCAGATAGCAGTGGGAAGCCCAGTGCAGCCATGTGGGCATGGGTGAGGTGTTTTGCTGCATCAGGTGCCTGCAAGTGTGTGCTGTAGGTGATGCTGTGGTGTTGGAGTCAGACCTGAGTGTGTGTGGCTGTGCGTGTGTGGAAACATGTGAGTGCACCTGACTGCGTGAGGCTGGCAGCCTATTCCAGTCCTTGGGACGAATCCAAGTTGGAGCAAGGTTGGGAAGTAAGATGAGGGCACCAGGTACTGATCCAGGCCTGCTATGACCATATGGCAGGGCAGGTGGTCAGGGCTGTAGGCTCAGCCTCAACGGCTGAGTACAGAGGGGAAGGTGCAGGGCCATGTGGAGTCCTGCCTTCTAAGATGCTGACTTTGGTTAGTATTCAGTTCTAATATCCAGGAATACCTGGGAAGCAGAAACTTGCAAGACTGAGGGGTGGGTGCTGAGGCCTCCTTGGCTGGCTCATTTTAGCCACTCCTCTGAGACCTCCTCTCTGTCTGTCTGGATCCCTTTCAGGGACATGATATGCAGGAAGGACCAGGGAAGCCTAAACTGAACCTCTGTGATATCCTACTTGTCAAAGGCCCGACGCAGGCATGGATGTGCTGTGCTTTAGTCTTAACCCTCTCTAGCGGTGCCCCTTCCTCTATGCCAAGACACTTCAGCCCACAATTTGCCCTCCCCAAGAACAGGCACCCAGGGCTCTAAGCAGGCACTGAGTGTTTATTGGGGGCGGCTTCCTGGTTGTTACAACAGTGGGCAGAGGTCTGCCGTCCACATTCCCCACCACAGCTACACGGAGCCCTGGGAAAGATGGAGGGAAGCATCATTTACCAGGGGTCTTGGATATTGTTTCCTCCAGAATCCTAGGTTCTTTCAGTGCCTCATGGATCACTCGGCAGGTGAATTTTTTATTCTCTGCCCAGTGTGTCTTGGAGACCTCTAGGCGGCTGAAGATGAAGAAGCCTTGACCGGGGCCATTGGACTTCAGGGGTGCTGTGGTTCTGTGCTGGGCTTTTGGGATCAGCACCCCATCCTTCATCCACTCCACTGAGATGTCCACAGGGAAGAAGTTCTGGATCAGACAGGTGAGTGTGAGTTTGTCCTTGTTCTCCTTCTCTGGTGGTGGGAACACGTATAGCTCTGGGGCTGAGCGCTGGCCTGTGGGCAGACATTAGTTAGCCAGGTTCTAGCCTCTCTGACCATGAGGGAGCACTAGCCCACTCTCCATCTCCTGTGCTTACCCGGGGCCTTGGAGATGGACCGCACAATGGACTTGGGCAGGTGAGGGTGGTTCACTTCGCACTTATAGCGTTTGCCTTCAATCCAGTCGTTGGCGTCCACTGGGATGGTGGAGGTGATGCTAATTGTTGCGTTTTGGTGCCTGATGGAACTCTGGAATGCTGAGCCCATAGGCTTCCCAGTCTCTTGGGTCCACGTCACAGTGGCGTTCTCCTTGCTTTCCAGGTCCACCACCAGACAGGTAAGCTTGGGAGACTTAAGTACATACAGGTCCAGGGGGCTGGGTGGGATCAGGTAGGTATTCACGCCACGTGGCGCATACTCTGTGGGGTAGGAAGGGCTGTGTGAGACCCGACCTTTCCCTTAGAACTCTGAGGTCTGGGCATCAGGTATGTGAGGGCCTACCTGAGCACTTCTGGGCAGAGACCTCATAGTTCCTGTCTTGGGAGGTGACCTGGCAGGTGAAGATGCTCTCAGACATCCATTGATCCTGGGTGATGTTGAGTTCACTGTAGCTAGAGGCTAGCTTGCCCTCCTTCTTGATTAGGGAGATATGTGGAATTACATTAGGTATCTTCTGTTTATCTTTTAGCCAGGTGACAGTGACGTCATCTGGGATATGATCACAGATGAAGCAGTAGAGCTGGACGGTCGAGTAGAAGGCACTGGGGTCACAGGATGAATGGAGCAGCTTCAAGGTGGGCTTGGTGATACTGGCAAGTGACGCTAGGGCAGAGGCAGTGAGTTGTGAGTATCTCCCAGCCTTGTGCTCCCACAGGCCTCAACCCGGGCCCCCGAGGGTCCTCCTGTCACAGGTTCCCGCTGTGACTGCAGCCAGCCCAGCCCTGCTTACCTCTGATCACTATACTCTCGTTGAATTCGGAGGGGGTATGTATCACCTGACAAGTGAAGTTCTTGACTGACTTGCTCCAGGTGGTCACTAGACTGGTGGTGATCCCGAGTTCAGAGCCCGCAGCAGGGAAGTTCACGAAGCTTATGTTCTGGGAGTTTGAAGACCAGTTCACAGTCACAGGGCCAGGGAAGTAGTCCTTTACCAGGCAGCCCCGTGTCACTAAGGCAGTGTCTTCCTTACAGGGACTCAAGGCATAGACAAAAGGGTTCTGGACAGAGACTGTGAGACAGGATCTAGGTTAGACTGGTCTCAGACCACTGCATTCCGGCAGGCTGGGGGACTGATTAGGGTGTTTGTGACAGGAGCAGGGCTCTGGGGACCCTGTTCCAGTCTGGGAGAGAGATAATCAGAATCCTTGTGGGTCCTGTCTTTGTGTCCCAGGGAGCCCCTGATACTTTACACCCTGCCAGGGTTTTCTCACTCATTGCCCCTCGAGCACAGGAGGGCTGGGCTTGAGCTTTGCAGCAAGAGGCAATTGCCCTCTTTCTTGATGGGGAAATTATATAAAAATTTAGCCATCATCATTTAGTGACATCATCTAAGATATGTCAGTAGGTGAAGCAGTAGAGCTGGGTGGCAGACTGGGATGGGAAGGCATTAGGGTTGCAGGATGGAGTAGCTTCAAGCTGGGCTAGGTGATACCGACAGAGGGACCAGACTGTCCCTTAGGTTGAAGTCCAAGGAACAGGTATCCCATAGAACTTGGGGACCCAGAAATCCAATGAATTGCCAGGTTATCCCTTCTGTCCCCACTCTTGGGGACTGGAGAGTCAAAGCCTTCCCAGGACCACAAGTTCCTTTGTGAGTCACATTAACTCTGTTTTGGGGCATATGGAAGACAGACCTGTGAGATTCTTGCTCCCTAGGCTGTTGGTCTCAGCCTCTCAGATACATGAGTGCTTTGCTGTGGTTCCTCTTTACCATATCCCAACCTGTGTAGCCTTCTGCCTCCCAGATGACCCCTGTGGATCCCAGACAGCACATAGACAGAGAGTAAAACCTCACCAGAAGCCACCTTGGTGGTTGCCTAATTACTCTAATGTGCATACGTGCCTATGATATTCTCCTGAGCCAGGGGCCCAGCTCAGCTCTGTGCCAGGCCCCCAGAAAGCAAAGGATACCATCAAGCCTTCTTGACTCTACCTATCCAGTCTAGCCGACTACAATAGAACAACATTCTTGGAGGACAGTCAAAACACCCGTAAGTGATTTTTGAGCAATCTATCTTAAACCCAGTTCAGTTTAGCATCAGAAAGTTCAACCAGACCAACAGACCCATAATAGTTTGGTCCAGTCCAGAATAATTTAGCTTAGCTCGGCTCATGTCACCCTAGCCTGGCCAATTCCAGCTTAGTCCAGTTTAATGCATCCCAGGCTAGTTTATCCCAGTCTGTCCCAGCTCAGATTAATACCCGCCCCTAATCTGGCAGAGCTCAGTACAGCCTAGACCAGCTCAGTTTAATCCCCCAGCCCCCAGTTCAACTCAGTCCAGATCAGCATAGTACAGTATATTCTAGCTCATTCCAGCTCAGACTAGCTCAGTCTAGTTCAGCTCAGTACTGTCCAGTTCAGCCTAGCTCAGCACAGCTCAGTCAAGCCCAACTGATTCAGCCCACTCCAGCCTAGCTCAGCTCATTCAAGTTCAGTTCAACACAGCTCAGCTCAGCCTAGCATAGCTCAGCCATCTATGGAAGTCTGAGCCAAGCTCACTTCTGCTAAGCTCAGCCTATATCAGTTAAGCCCAGTTTAGCCCAGCTCATCCTGGCCCAGCCCTACTCAGCCCCACGCAGCCCACACTAACTTAGCTCAGCCCAAACCAGTCCAAACCAACCTACCTCAGGGTCATTCAATCCAGTTCAGTCCAGCACATTCAACCTAGACCAACCCAGCCCATTTTAGGATAGTCAACCCAACCTGTCTCAGTCCAGATCAGCCCAACTCAACATAGCTCAGTCCAACCTTGCCTAGACTTTTTCAGCTGAGCTCAGTTTAGGCCAGATCAGTATAGCCCAGCCTTGCTTAGGCCAGCCTAGCCCAGCCCAGCCCACCTTAGACAAGACTAGTGTAGCTCAACTCAGCTCAGCCCATCCAACCCAGCTCAGTCCAGCCCAACTAAGTTCAATCTAGTGTAACCCAGTTCAGCCAGGCACAGTCCAGCTAAGTTAAGTCTAGATCAATCCAGTCCAGTCCAGTCCAGTCCAGTCCAGCCCAGCCCAGCCCAGCTTAGTCTAAGTCAGCCTAGCTCAGACCAGAATACTTCAGTCCAGTTCAACCCAGTCTACCCAAGATATCTCAGCCTAGTCCAACTGAACTCAGCCCAGCCCTGTTCAATCCAGTCCTGCTTAGTGCAGGGCAGCCCTACTTAGCTTAGCTTACTTAGCCCAGCTCAGGCCAGTCCGGCCATTCCAGTCCAGCCTTGCCTACCTCAACCTAGCGCAGCTTAGCTCAGCACAGCTCAGTCAACCCAGTTCAGACTAGCTTAACCTAGTTCAACCTAGCTCAGCCCAGCTCAATCTAGTTCAACCTAGCTCAGTCCAATTCAGCCCAAGTTAGTCCAGCTCAGCCCAGCTCAGCCCAGCTCAGCCCAGATCAACCTAGCTCAGCCTGGCTCAGTTCCAGCTCAGTCCATCTTAGCCCAGATCAACCTAGCTCAGCCTGGCTCAGTTCCAGCTCAGCCCAGCTCAGCCCAGATCAACCTAGCTCAGCCTGGCTCAGTTCCAGCTCAGCCCAGCTCAGCCCAGATCAACCTAGCTCAGCCTGGCTCAGTTCCAGCTCAGCCCAGTTCAGCCCAGATCAACCCAGATCAACCTAGCTCAGCCTGGCTCAGTTCCAGCTCAACTCAGCTCAGCCCAGCTCATCACAACTAAAGGCCAAATAAACTAAGACCAACACCGCTCAACCCAGTCCACACAACTTAGGTTAGCCCGGTCCAGTCCACCCAACCTAGCTCATGCCAGTCTAATCCAACCCAACCTAGCCAAGTCCCTCCCACTTTAAGGCATCCCAGCCAAGTCTGGCCTAGTTGAGCTTAGTTTAAGCCCTGCTCAGCCCAGCTAAAATCAACCTAGACCATCTCAGCTCAGTTTAGCTCAGCCAAGCCAAGGCCAGTTCACTCAAGCCCAGCCCAACCTAGTACAGCCCAGCCCAGCTCTGCTTAGCTTAGTGTAGTCCTGCTGAGACCAGTCCAGGTCAGCTCAGCTCAGCCTACCCTAGCTCAGCTCAGGCTAGTGCATCCCAGTTCAGACTAGCTCATACCAGCTCAGGCCAGCCCCGTTTAGCCCAGCTCAGCCCAGTCGACCTAGTCTGATTCAGATCAGTTAGCAGGCCCCAGTTTAAGTTTGCTCAGCCTACTCCAGGCCCCTCCAGCCCATACTGGTGCAGTCCAGCCCAGCATAGGTCACTCAACCTAGCTCAGGCCTGTTCAGCCAAACCTAGCCTAGCCAAATCCCTTCTAATTTAACCCAGCCCAACCTAGTCTGGTCTAGCTCAGCTCAGTTTAGCCCAGATCAGCCTGCTCAGCCTAGCTCAGTCCAGTCTTATCTAGCCAGACCTAGAACATCTCAGCTCAGCTCAGCCAATCTAAGTACAGTTCAGCCCAGTCCAGCCCAGTCCAGTATAACCCAGCTCATCCCAGTCTGATTCAGACTGGTTCAGCTCAGCATAGTCTAGCCCAGCTCAGCCCAGCTCAGCCTAGCTCAGTTCAGTCTTATCTAGCCAGACCAGTGCATCTCAGATGAGTATACCCCATGTAGTTCAGGCTAGCCCAGCTTAGCCTCTCCAAGTCCAGTCCAGGCCAGTCCAGACTAACCCATAGCAGCTGAATATAACCCACTTAGCTCAGCCCAGCCCTGACTAGCTTAGCCCAGCCCAGTCTAGCTCAGCCTTGTTTAGCTCAGCCCTGCTTAGACCAGTTGAGCCAAGCCCAGCACAGCCCAAATCAGCTTAACCGAGCCCAGCCCAGCTAAGCCCACAGCCCAGTCTAGCCCAGCCCAGTCATCTATCCCAGCCTAGTCTATCCCAGCCCAGTCTAGTCAAACCCAGTTCAACCTAGCCCATCCCAACCCAACTCAGTTTAGCTTAGCCTAGTTCAACCAGTTCAGCCCAGCTCTGCTTAGCCCAGTTCAGTCCAGTCTAACCTAGTCTCATTCAGATCATCTAAGCCTACTCTAGTTTAAGCTTGCTCAGTATACTCCAGTCTAGGCCAGCCTAAACTAGTTAAATCCAGCTCATTCCAGTCCAGTCCACTTTACATGGCTCAGCCCAGCCCAGCCCAGCCCAATCCAGTCCAGAAAAACCTAGCTCCACTCAACCCAGCCAACTCTGGCCCTGCCAGACCGACCCAACCCAGCCCAGCCCAGCCCAGGCCAGCCCAGGCCAGCCCAGCCCAGCCCAGGTCAGCCCAGCCCAGCTGTGGACTCTGTCCTCTTTGTAGTTAGCTCATTGCAGGACAATTCCTTGCCTTCATTTGCTGCCTCTGGGTGACATTCTTGTCCTGGTGGCTTGCAGGCAGATTCATGTCCAGTCTATTTTGGGGGTTTTTGAGCTTCTCTTGACAGCTTTAGTTTATATTTAGTTTATCCCATCTGGTTGAGATTCATGGTCCCTTGTCTTCGTGGATAGCTGTAGCAGTTTTTAATATCTGTGTTCCTGACACAGGGAAGTTATAGATAAAGAACATTCAATGACCAAGAGACTCAGTCTACATTGGAAGGCAGCCCAGGTGTCCCCTTCCCCATCCGTGACCCTGTAGCCTGTTTATCTCTGCTACTTAGGCAAACCCTTTCGCTGAGGTTCCCCCGGGCGGTAGTACCTGAGGTCCTCTGGTAGGTGGCTGTGGCCGGCCAGGCTGTCCTCATCTGCAGCCATCCCATGCCCCTGTACAGGCTCTCAGACGACTCTTTGGTAACCATTATTATATTCATGCCCATATGCTAGTACCTAGGGGAGGCTCTGCCTCAGTGCCCTCAGCTAAAAGTGGGGTGGGAACCCCCGACCTCAGCAGCCCTGGAAGTTCCCTTTTTATTCTGTTCTTGGGAAGTTGACTAAGGGAGAGTGGGGTCTCAGGTGAGGCCTCTTTCTAGGAGACACACCTGCATGCTCCTCTCTGTTGTCTGGTCCCAGGGCTCCTCTGCGCAGCTCTGATCTGGGCGCCTTGCATGTGCTTGCAGCCACCATGCCTGCGTCCTTGGAGTGCCACTGCCCTGAGAAGGGACTGGGCTCTAGCCATTGCCCTTTCTGTTCCTTTGGCAGCACTTCAAGGGGAAGGTGGTAGCCACTTTACGAGTGATGAATGAGGCACAAAAAGGCACAGTGTGACAGGCAGGGCCTCAGACAGGGACACCCTGGTTCACGCCTCAGCTCTGGAGAGTGACCTTCCTTGGTGCTCACTCACAAGTGGCTGTCCTTCAGCTGGGTCCTCTCTCTGCTTCTCTGGCACAGGATCAGGAAGGCTAGAGGACGTTTGGGCTGTGACTGGGTTTCGTGGAACTGTGCAGAAGCAGTGTCCCTTCCAGGCCTATGTCCGTATGTGGGGCGGGAAGAGAGGAAAGACCATGTGGAAAGCTGGGCTTCGGCTCAGCAGCTTCCCTAGGGGTACTAGCAACGCCTGTTTTGGCTGTAGTTGGTGCTTTACTGACCTGTGCAGAGCAAGCTCATCTTCCGGGTACAGACCTTCTCTCTACACTTTGGTATCTCTGCATGCCCACGGTTCCTAGGACTTCCATGAAAACACATGGCCAAGCTACAGGAGCCACCAACTCAGCTTATGAGTGTTGAGGTTTGAGAGAGACACAGAGATTTGGGGAAGGAGATCAGAGCTCTGTCCCTTCGACCTTGGATGCCCAGGGTCAGGTCAATGGCCCCAGTGCAATGTACCAAGGGACTTAGGGTTTGACAAGCCTGGCTTCTACAGGGTGTTTAGTCATGTTTGGAAGATATCAGATAGCTACTTGACAATGGCAGGGACAGGCAGGCTGGGAGCTGACCCAGTCCGGTCAGATGCAGTTAGGATCTTTGGGGGACGGGGGCCTTGCCGAGCTTGTCTTTGTCAGATATAGTGTCTGCCTGAGGTTATGGGTCTGGCCCTCAGCCTTCTAACAGACATGGGTGGGAGTCTGAGGGGCAAATTCAGCGCTTCCTGGAAGGAATCACGGTTCTGAGGGAAAAAACAGGAGTGAGGAGCCTCTGTTCCAGCTGGAGCAGGTGCTGCTGTCTGTGGTGTGCCCTGAACAGTGGGAAAGTCTTTACTTCCCTGGGAGCATGAGGGCCAAGAACCTTTGTGCCCAGCATGCCTGGACCTGATTCTTACCTGACACCCAGGCTGGGCTGGGCTGCTGGTTCTGGGTACCTCAAGAGTTCTATTTTTGGTGTCAGTGGGTGACCCCCCTGGAAGGAGAGGAGGCAGTTATAGCTTCTAAAGCCTTAGGTCCCACTAGGAACCCTGTCTCGTTTCTGGGGCAGACTCCACTGTGGCTCTCTTCTGGCCTCCAAGAATCATCCTTGCCCCACCCCTTCCTGTCCACAGGGTGATCACTCCATTTCTGCCCCAACAGTGCCCACATTGGCCCCATCAGCAAGGTGCACTTAGTGCCTGTGCCCTGCTCTCACCTTCACCCCATCTCCTGGGTCACGGCGCCACCGGGATCCAGTCCCACTTTAGTCACCCCCATAGGTGGCTCCTTTATTCCTGTGACTGGGGCAGATCTGTCCCTGGATGGGCCAGACAGGTCTAAGGTATGTAAGTGTAATGACAGGTCTTTATTGGGAATACCGTAATGTTCACGTTTTCTTCATGTAGAATGAGCTGTTGGGAGCCAGACTAATTTGACCTTTTGATGTACTACGGTTGACTATTTTCTATATCAGGTAATATTATATCTTTTAGAGACCCGTAGGATTATCATCATGGGATTCCTGCTGCTTTGAATACTTCAGAGTCTCGAGGAAGCTGTATTTGAGCTGCAAAGAATACTGCAATCATGGCTGCTGCTGAAGCCACAGAAGGCCTTGCTCTAGCTACCATGGCTACAAGCTGCACCACTGTTGGGAAACTGCATTTCAGCGATGACCTCAGGAGACTTCACCTGTAGATAGCAGCTCTCAAGGTCAGGGAGGAAGAACAACATATTTCCTGGTAGCTTGAAAAACATGGTTATTATCAGAAAGAAAGCTCTACCTATTTGAGACCCACGATCCATGCTTCTGTAAGGCTTGTGATTGGTGGAACCAAAGGCAGTATACATGTAGGGCTGTGACTGGTGGAAGTGCAGTCCATGTATGAGCCCACAGTCTGCCCCAGTCAAACAGCTACTACCACACTCAGAGGGCCCACCTTGGTCCTACGTTGGTTCTTTCACTGTCAGGCCAGAGTTGGTGGCCCCCACTAGCTCAGGTCAGCTGTTTCTGTGGGTGTCCCTATCAAGGGCTTGACTTCTTTGCTCGTATTCTCACTCCTCCCTCTCTTCGACTGGACTTTGAGAAGTTCATTGACTGAGCATTTATAATTAATAATACGTCTCTGGGTGGTTATTTGGGAGCTAACTGGTGGGACAAAACTTCCACCCAGTGGTGCCCAGTGTCTGGCCGCATATATCCACATAAGACTTGAAAAAAATTAAAAAGGTTGTAAACACACAAAGACAGAGCCAAATGTGGCTTCCTGGTTTGTGTCTATCATGCTGGCCGCAGTACAGACACACATCTCCCAGCCGCAGTACAGAGACAGAAACACATCTCTCAGCTGCAGCCCACGTGCTTGAGGCACCACAGCCTCACGAGCTAAGCTGCTTGGCAGGTTTAAGGCTTTGCTCATACAGACAGAAAAGATTACAGATACATGGCAAAAGCAGGTTCAGATGGAAAAAAGCCCTCTAAACAATTATAGTGTTTAACAATGTGTGTAGGCTTAAGAAAGAAAAGAAAAAGGGTACAGACAGTCATAGAAAAAAGTAACTTAAAAATAATAAAGGGAAATCTTTAAGGAAAGAGTAAAGTAACAAATAAAGGAAAAAAGCCATATAGAGATGGGAAGTACAAAGGGAGTCTGGGTCCTGTGTTATTGTGTACCTTTAAATGTGTTGATTGCCAATGAACAAACAAAAGTTGCTGATAGGCATTTGATTATGGAAACTGCTCAATTAAACCAGCCTATATATTTAAAAAAATGTCTTAACTTCAAAATGTAAGTAAAAAATGTATTGCATTGGGGGAGAGGTTATACTTGTATTTACACAGGAAACAAAAGGTTATAGATTCCTTTCAGATTAACAAAGATCAGATTTGAACTATGGTAGATTTCCTGAGTATCTTGGCTACAGACATAGGGAGGAAGCCAAAAAAAGACTACAGTTCAGGTAGCATGTAAACTGATCCTTTGACTTGGGAACAGTGCTGAGATGAGATAAAATGTGATAAATCTTGTTGGTTACAGAGTCCTCATGACTTATTATTATATGCTATCCTTACATATGGCATAGATAGAGATTATATTACAGTTTTATTATACAGTCCAAATGGACTTATAAAGCCTCTTACAATAAGGGAGCAAGCTCTGAGGAAGCAGGCCTGAGTCAGAGACCTCTGGGACTGGGCATGAATCAGCAACCTCTGAGGGAGCAGGCCCAAGTCATCAACCTCCATTGGAGCAGGCCTGAGCCAGCGATCTCTACTGGAGCAGGCCCAAGGCAAACAACCTCCATGGGAGCAGGTTTGAATGACCCCCTGGATTGCAGAGCAACCCTGGGGAGTGCTGAGTGACCTCTAGGAACACCAAGTGAACTCCAGGGTGACTGGGACCATGGTCCTTACTACACCATGAGGAGTAACCATCTGAGCCTTGGATCTACTGGCACCTGGAAGATTGATCACCAGGGACACAGCTCCAACTACACCAATCAGAGGAAAAGATGAATAGACAAGGTGAGAACACACTCAACACCACAAAGAGCAACACAATACCGACAAAAACTCAACACCACAAAGAGCAACACAACACCGACAAAAACTAGTGACCCTAGTTTTTGAAAACCCAAACACAGATGAAATATAGATGAAATACAGACTTAAAAACCCAAATATAGATGAATCAGAAGAAAATGACATAAAAAATAACTTTAGGAGAATGTTTGAGGTCCTTAAAGAGGAAATGAAAAATTCCCTCAAAAAAATGGAGAAAAAGACAAAAAATTGGAAGAAATCATCAAATCCCTAATGAAAACCAAGAAAAAAAACCAATCAAACAGATGAAATAAATGATTCAAGACTTGAAAACCAGAACAGAGACAGCAAAGAAAACACAAACAGAGGGAATTTTAGAAATGGAAATTATGAGAAAATGACCAGGAACCACAAATGCAGCATAAACAACAGAATACAAGAGATGGAAAAGAGAATCCCAAGTGCTGAAAACACAATAGAGGAATTAGACTCATTAGTCTAAGAAAACATTAAATCTAACAAAAACTTAACACAAAATATCCAGGAATTATGGATAAATCTTGAAAAGACCAAGCCTAAGAATATTAGGAATAGAAGGAGAAGAAGTACAGCACAAAAGCACAGAAAATATATTCAACAAAATCATAGACGAAAACTTCCCCAACCCAAAGAAAGATATTCATATGAAGATACAAGAAGCTTACAGAACACCAAATAGACAGGACCAAAAAAAAGTTTGCTCACCACATAATAATCAAAACACTAAACATACAGAATGAAGAAAGGATATTAAGAACTGTAAAGGGAAAAGACCAAGTAACATATACAGGTAAACCTATCAGAATTACACTTGACTTCTCAATGGAAACAATGAAAGCCAGAAGGTCCTGGTCAAGTGTTATGCAGACATTAAGAAACCACTAATGCCAGCCAAGACTATTATACCCAGCAAAACTTTCAATCGCCATAGACAGACAAAATAAGATATTCCATGACAGAATCAGATTTAACCACTACCTAGCCACAAACCCAGTCCTACACTAAGTACTAGAAGGAAAACTCCAACCCAAGGAAGTTAGCTACAACCCCCAAAACACAGCCAATAGATGATCTAACAGCAGCAAATCTCAAAGAAGGGAAAATCACACAAAATAACATCACTAACAATGACAACTAAAATTACAGGAACAAGCAATCACTGGTCATTAATATCCCTTAATATAAGTGGACTCAACTCACCT